TATACGAAGAAAACGCACATACGCGGCGCTCGTAACTGTACGACGTGATGACTTGCTTTTTTGTTGTCTACGTGATCGCGCCTGCGACGCACATCAGTAGTCGTCGTTGCAGTTGACCGTCAGTTTCGCGCCGGTTGTCATTGTAGAGAGAGGTCGCGGTTACAATCCATACGCTCGTCGTCCGCGGCCAGAGCACGTAATTATTGACCGCACACTTCATTGCAAGTCAGCGCGTTGCGAATTTCGCTGAACGTACGCCACGCACGACGCTCTTTTCGTCCATCACACGTACCTACACTTCGCTCGCAGGATGGATTTGCCAGTAAGCGAATAACATAACAATAACAATGCGGATTAATTGCAGTTTCGACTTATAGCGAGTAGAGGGAGAGCTAAACAGTAGCGAAGTGGGAGCGATTAAAATTCATATAAATTAATAAATTTAACGTTGATAATATTAATGTCTGAATGCATTCGGTCACAATTATTCGACCGAATTATTAATTATTATTTATTGGCTCAAGCCTTTTCTCGATACTACGTCAATTTATAATTTTTCAGGTAGTTTACGGAGATCGTTAATAACTTTTTATCTTACTTTTTTTACCGCATTCCTCATTCTTTGCGGCGATGAATAATTTTCATCATTAAAATCCAACGCGGATGAAAATATCTTCGTTTTTATATTTCTTGAGCGTGATGTGAAAACATTATATAAAGTATAATATGATAATTGCATAAAAACTTAACTAGGTAATGCGTAATCAAGAATATTTATCAGATTTATACAGTGTAGTGATGAGTATTTATTCACCTTGTGCAGAATATAAATTATAATAAAGAAGAAGAAACAATTTGCAAAGTATTTTAGAGAATATTCTGGAGTTGTGCTTAATTGATTACAAGTGTCATTTTCTGAATGCATCTTCTTATTTCGACTTATTTCGCGAGAATTTTTAGCATGCGTTTCTTTGCTTCTAATGTCACTTAAAAAAATGCGAGAAGCCTGAAGTCATAAAATTTGTTTGTAGCCATAAGCAAAATGAGATACAACAAAAAAAACACAGAGGAAACATTTTTTTTCCGCTTCATGTTTTATTTCGTAATCATGAATAAACATAAAGAAAGACATGTGATGTCTTAAGCAAAAATAAATATGCATTCATATTAAGAATAAAAAGTATACACGTGCAAGCTATCTTGACTCAGCACATATGTGATGACGACCTTCATATCGTCGCTATATCTTTATTATTACGTCATAAGCGATTCCTTCCTACGATTTTGTCGTCAGTCACAAGTTATCTCACAATAATGCCCAATTGTTCGATTGCACTCGAAAGTCGCCACTCAGAGATACGCGTCTCTATAAGCTCAATACCTGTTTATCCAATCAGAATTACATCATCCACGATTCAGTTGCAAATACGATACTATGTTAATATAATACTATGCTAACAGCGTAATCGTTTGCGGACCCGAGCGCATTAGTTTGTAGACGTCAGTGGAAATCGACAATTATCAACATTCCGGTTACACAGTCGTGTTGCAGTATCATTGAAGCTGCGCTTCTAAGTTACTCTTGTTGCTTAGCGATAAACTAAGCTCGTCTTGATTTATCACGTAATGCACGGGAAAATTTGCAAAATAGTAAACAAAATTATAATACAAATATCATATTCCTCGATAATGCATAATTCTTGCTGACAAATACGGTGTTAAATGGCAAAACAAATCCGCGATAAAATTGATTAAAAGTGTTATTGACGTAGATTAATATAGATAAAAAACGGATCTTGTTTCTCCGAATGAATTATTATATAGAATTCCAGCGACGTTCAATTAATGTTTCTCTGCGCACAAAATAACAATTAATTATTCGTAACTCATTTGAACTGTTATGCAAAACTGTTGATATCCTCTGTGATATAATCTCAATCGACGTAATTATGTAAGTCTCTTTTTCATGCAAACCGCGACGCTATAATAACTATTTTCTTGTCAAGGCAACGCTAGAATGAAACGAAATAATAATCGCTTGTCCGGCTTGGAAATTTTTGTTGAAACGAAAACACACGCGAAGATAATTGCGAAATAACCGCTACACAGAATTTGCACGTCCTGAATAATACTTAAAAATGACATCTGACCTTTCTACAAATGTTTTGTAAGCATGACTGTCATGATTTAACTCGAATTAAGACAAAAATTGTCTAGTTGCAGCAGTGATAACGACGCGCACGCTATCATTATTCTTAGAGATTGTCTGTAACGCAATCAAAATTACTATTTAGAGACGCAGTACTACTCTGTGAATCAATCATGTATCTACATCCTTCGTGTAAACTCGTGAAAAATGAAAAGTTTTATCGACAAATTTAATAAAACTTTTCATTTTGCATGAGTTTACATGAAGGATGTAGATATATGATTGATTCACAGAATAGTACTACGTCTCTAAAAAATAATTTTGATTGCATTATAGACAATCTTTAAGAATAATGATAGCGTGCGCGTCGTTATCACTGTCGCAATCAGACGATGCTACAACTTTAAAGCGTAATTGCAAAGCGATCGCAGATTGAAAAAATCCCTCAGTTATCAGAACAGAAGCTGTGTACAATGATCGTTAAGGAAACAGGTCGAACAGTTACAAGTTATTTCTCATCATTTGCCATTTTAACTAAACATACATTGCCTGAGATACAAATCACATTTGTTCTCGTCTATTTGGGCTAGATTAGTTACGTCTCCTTTACGTCTTCTTTAGAAGTGTTGTTTGCAGGAGCAAACTGGAAGTAACAAATCATTTATTCCCACTTATGGAGTCTTTTGTTGTTTCATGTTAAGACAACATTTATTGCAGATACTGATATGCTGCTAAATTAGCAAAACTTTTTCTCAGTGCATTGTAGACGATCCTTTAGTGCGCATGAACCGACGGATTTATAAATTGTATTTTAACAATATTTTACAAATAATTGTCTCGATGCGTTTGTCTGATACATTGCATCACGTAATGAAAATATTTAATTTTTGCCTTTTCTTCGCGATAATCTTATCGATTATTCTCGATTACTTTGTTTTTACAGAAATATCGAATTATGTACAGTGATAAGCATTTCATTCGCAAAATATGAGGACAAAATAGAACAGGATAAAAGTAGAAATTACAAATAATAAACAAATCGAACTATAGGGCATATAATATCGAAATATTGTAACAGGCGAAATATCAATAACGCGCAATCGAAAAACAGATACGTCTATTACGAATGACAGATATATATTCGTTCATCGCTCATTCAATTTCAACATATGCGAAACATATGTAAGATAAAAAAGTATTTTATCATGTTTGATTGCTGATAAAAAAAAGTATTCCTCAAATCCGGTGACATTTGTACAACTTTAATTAACATAAATAACAGTCGCGATTCGTTGATAGATATTTTAATGCCCAAAATATTAACTCTTTAGTCTTAATTAGTTATTTAGTCAACTGCATTAGTCATAAGCAAATTGATCACAATTGAAAAAAATAATTATATATGAATTTTGTCTCTATATGACAATACAATCATATGTAATTATATATGTCTACGCCGAGAAAAATTCTGTTGTACAAATACAATCGAGATCAATGCTAATGTTTCTAGCAGTTCATGATGTCGACATTTAATGGAATAAAACTATTTTTTCTTTTTTTCATTTAACAGCATTTTTTTTCGTGCGGGCATATATAATTGTATACGATTATATATGTAGAGATAAAAAATTCATATATAGAGCATATACAATTTTATATATAATTTATATATAATTACATATAATTTATATATAATTACATATAATTTTTATATAATTACATATAATTTTTATATAATTATGTATAATTATTTTTTTCCGGACAGCCACAATCGATTTTCGTTGGAATAGTCTTTGGAATTTGCTTACAACTTAAGGTCTCTGATTACTCATATTCACCTTTTTTTAATGACGTCAGAAGTGAAGAAACATAAGCTAAAAGTTCTTACAAAATACGTAAATAAAAAAGTATATTCACAAAATAATATTTGCAATCGATATCTTTAAAATATTCCGAACATTTTCCTTTTATTCTAACAATCAATAAATAACTATAAGCTTAACATGATATTTTTCATTATTCTGCCATATTAATTTTACGATTATTTAAAGGTAAGGACTAGGGCTTAGATTATACATTCTAAATTAAATTGGAATAACAATATTAATTACAATATATTGCTTGTAAGATTATATATGCAAAACTGCGAGAAATATTAAGTATTAAATTTCTCATGAACGGTGTAGATGCAACGCATGAAACTTTAACTACGAATGTGTTTCACTGCGATAAATTTTACGTTAAAAATTTTTGTGTAATATTGTATATAATTCTAAGAATTTTAAATGAATAAACTCCTTAACGCTTCTGGCCTCTCGCATTGTCTATTTATTTTTAATGACATCAGAAGCGAGAAAATGCATGCTAAAAATGCTTGCAAAATATTGAAATAAAAATATATATCCATAAAGTAACACTTGCAATCGGTTAAACAAATTTGTAAGATATTCCGTGCATTCCGCTTTTACTCTAACAATCAGTAATTTATTGTAAATTAATCTAAATAGAAATAGACGAAGAAATAGGTTAAGAAGATGAATTGTATGTCACGTTAATCTACAATAAATTATTGATTGTTAGAGCAAAAGGGAAGTGCACGGAATATCTTACAAATTTGTTTAATCGATTGCAAGTGTTACTTTATGGATATATATTTTTATTTTTCCGCAAGAATCTTTAGCATGCATTTTTTTCGCTTCTGACGTCATTAAAAATAGATAGACAATGTGAGGGGCTAGGAGTCTTAACTGCTCGAGTTCCGCGATAGAAAGCAATTTCTTTAACAATACGGGATGCGTTGTTTCATGATAATCAATTAAGCGGTCTTCATCTGGGGCTGTGTTACAGACAGTGGACGCATCACAACCAAAAGCCATAAGAATGGCGGGATCGCCGGTGTTGGAAAACGAAAGTGGGCTGGAAGATGTCAACGAAAACTGCATCAGCAACCTGGACATTCTGTTATTTGTTGCACTAACCTTGGTTGTAGTATGGTACTATGTATGGAGGCGAAGAAAGCGAGAAGAAGACAACACGCCTGCCCCAAAATCCTATTCCATACAGTAATTAACTTTGTTTCGCAAAAACAAAATAACACATTGACTGCCATGATGATCGAAGTTATGATATTGTCTCATTAATTTACGCATAAAATGCAACTGCGCATAAGAAATGAAATTTATAGCCAACAGAGAGTCGAAAAAACAACGAATATACACTGCACTTTTTTATTATATTATTTAATTGCACTTTTTTAGCGCATATTTGAGTTGAGCATTGAAATAATCAATAAAAAGTATTGTGTAGCAGTCAATATATATGTTAACTAATATCGCTAATCAAAGTACTACTAAGGATTGTTTTGATTCTTCTTCGATTATAGACCGACGTCTTTCGTGGCGACGCTACCTTCCGAGAACTCTTTCATAAAAAAGCTGAAATCGTCTGGGCGCAGTTTGGTGGTGTTCTATGGTAGTCAGACGGGTACTGCCGAAGAATTCGCCAGTCGTCTCGCCAAAGAGGGCATCAGGTACAAGATGAAGGGCATGGTGGCCGATCCCGAAGAATGTGATATGGTACGAGAATCAACGATTTATTACATTATTTGATTTGAAAACAAGAGAAGATTATTAACTTGTTAACTATGATCTGTTAACATCTGTAAGATGTAATATGCTTTACAAGAAAGGTTTAATTATCAAATGTTAGAAAGCTTAAAGAAATCTAAAAAAAAATAAGAGGATATTAGCTTCAACTATGATTCGTAAACTCAAACAGCACAGATCTCCACAAGACATCTTAAAGACGTCCTGAGAACGTCTTACGTCCTGAGAACGTCCTCAGGACATCCCCTGGAGATCTTGTGCTGTCTGGGTGATTCGTCAACATCTGCGAGATGAAAATATGTTAAGTAAAAATTCATGGTTAATCACTAAAAATATAAAACAAAAACTTGTCCAACGAGACATTACATTATTATTTACCTTGCATCTAAAGTAACTTCATGTCCTTCTTGTCGATGTAAAAGTATTTCTTGTTAAATGTTCGAGCGTAATATAATTGCGCAGTTTATATAAGATTATTAATTACTCGACAATACCGTTGCGCTAATACGAATAAATGATTCATCCAAGCAAGAAAAATTACTGAGACTGTGCAGGAAATGCAAATAGATATTCTCTCGGTTGGCAGGAAGAGCTAGTACATTTGAAGACTATCCCGAACAGTTTGGCGGTGTTTTGCATGGCAACATACGGAGAGGGTGATCCTACGGATAACGCGATGGAGTTCGTCGATTGGCTCAAGACAGGCGACAATGATCTCTCCGGGTTAAATTACGCGGTATGTATAGCCAGTACGCATATGCAGTTCGTATATTTAAGATCATCTACAAAACCTTGATGTTTTCTGAGAAAGAGCCATCAGAACTCGCGTTTGGGTTCGATTCTTGACATTCTTGCGAATGAAATATGCATACGAAAATGTATAGTTCACGTTACGTATACTGTAGATTTTCGCATGTGTATCTCATTCGCACACCGTCAAGAATCGGGCCCTTGGTAGTCAGCTGGTAGTCGAGAGTCTTGTTTTTCTATCAGCGCGAATTTTGATTGGCCTCTGCTTTTCTATTTTCCGCTTTTTCGTCAAGATATGAATTCTCCTTCAAGCTAACATTTCATTTATACGAAAACTGTTGGATACGACGTATTGTTGAATATGCCGATTAGCTTTCGAATAGAGCATTTTTAAATCAACCTTTTTTACGGGTAGTTTAAGGCCGGTATTCACAATCGGATCTTACATTTAAGACCCGATCTACAATAGATGAAGTAAGGAGTAGGAGTAAGATGAAATGGAAATAATTTATTTTGCTTACTCCCTTACTCCAGCTCTTATTATTTAATTCAGGCTTACTCCATGTGATGTAGACGGACAAACTTTATTGTAGATCAGGCCTAAGCGAAATAAATTATTTCCATTTCGTCTTACTCCTACTCCTTGCTCCATCTATTGTAGATTGGGCCTAAGATCGTCTTAAAGGTTACATGACATTTTCCCGAAAAATGTTGGTACCAACAAAAACCTCTAGGCAACAATTTTAATTTCTGCGGATTAATGACAGTTTGTTATTCGACACATACACACGCATATGTCAAAACGATTCCGCAAAATTCACGGACTTGCTACTTCAATAGTGTCACTAATTCGCAGAAATTAGAATTGTTGCCTAGGGATTTTTGTTAGTACCACTATTTTCCCATCTAGTTTTTGGGAAAGTGTTATGTAACCGTTTTAAGTTTATCTTCAAATGCTTTGTAACCAATGAAATTATCTATAGACCATCTAAAGATAAACTTAAGACGGTCTTAAATATAAAATCCGACTATGAATACCGGTCTATAAATTCTCTAGCAGTCAATTGACAAACGTTTGTATCCGACAAACTTGTCGCATCATAAATTAAATATTAGCTTTTTGTTTTACTCCGATTATTCCATTCTTAATTTTTATCTGAAACTGATACAATGACTCGACGTGAGATAACGATGTTTACTTTCCTTCTTCTCGAAGGCGAAAAAAATACTTAGTCTTTACGATTAAATATGTCGCCATACGACTGATAAGTGGTGGAGAATATTTTTCCTCGTGTATTTATTTTTGTCCGTGCTTGTTTTCGTTTCTTTTGTTCTATTCATCTCGAGTCTCGGACCGTAGACTTTGCGATCGCCCCTTCTTTAGTTACGCTACTGGTCGGGCATTATGTAAGCGTGAGTCAGAGCAATACACGCGTGCGACACTCGCGCACGACATTCACGTCAGAGGATCGTGCGATCAGGATTACTCTGGGCAAAAAATGAAGACGCGCATGGTAACACAAGGTCAACCGGCAAGTACTCAATGAGTTGAGTATGAATGCTCGGTTCCCCTTTCGCACTAATTCGACGATATAGTTGCGAAATTTCCGACGTAACAGTATGAATATCAATGCGTGCCACGGGCTGCTCCGTATTCTTCTACGGTGGCGCCGCAGAAGTGGTGTGGCAACGATATTACGGCACAGCGCCACGCTGCACTCGCCGTTCGAGGTATCGCGAGCAAGTCAATAGATCGCTCAGGAATATCGAATTTTTTAAATTCGAATGCGTTCATCATGATTTTGCTATTTTTTATTTCTAGGTGTTTGGACTTGGTAATAAAACCTATGAACACTACAACGAAGTTGCCATACACGTGGATCATAGATTGGAGCAGTTAGGCGCTACGCGTGTATTTGATTTGGGTCTCGGTGACGACGACGCTAAGTAAGTCTTTGCGAATAATTTTTTTGTATATAAACTGTAATTATTAGGTTGATGCAACATAGATATTTGTCATTTTTCTATTAAATAGGAAACTTGGCTATTAAAAATAAAAAGTTCTTGTTAGATGTCTAAAAAGATGTAGAGAGTCGATGTTCGTTTTATTTATAGAAATGATTGATCCTTTAAAATTGGATAAAGCTTTCCTCTATTTCATTCGATAAATTTTTTTCACCAATCTAATAATATATAATGCTTCTAAATATATTGTAACATATGTATACGTTGTAATATTAATATAATCTTTTTATATATAACATAAATTCAAAAAACATGAATATTTGATACATGCTTTAAAATGTCTAAAAGATATATAAAAAAATAAAAATTTTTTAAAAATTCCTGAGTGTTCCTGAATGTTCTTCCTGTTTAAGATCTTGTAAATAAATTCTACTTACTTTTAATTTCTGCGATTTATCAATATCTCGTATTTTCCATTACAGCATAGAAGATGACTTCATCACGTGGAAAGACAAGTTCTGGCCGGCTGTCTGTGAATTCTTCGGAATTGAAGGAGCTGGCGAGGATGTCAGTATCCGGCAGTACAAACTCACGGAGCACTCAGATATAGCAGTCGAGCGGATTTATACTGGAGAGATAGCTCGTCTGCATTCTTTCCAAAATCAGAGAGCGTAAGCTTCCACTTAGTCATGTCGGATGTCTTTCTTCTTGTTTTTCAGCATCCCATTCTTTTGTCTGTAGGCCGTTCGACGCGAAGAATCCTTTCTTAGCCCCGGTTAAAATCAATCGCGAGTTGCACGGCGTGACGTCCGAAAGGTCCTGCATGCACATCGAGTTCGATATTGAGGGCTCCAAAATGCGTTACGAGACTGGCGATCATCTGGCTGTCTATCCTGTCAATAGCGCAGATCTGGTTAAGAAAATCGGCGAACAGTGCGGCGTCGATTTGGATACCATTTTCACCCTTACGAATACGGACGGTGAGTTTACTTTATTATTATTATTATTACTCACTGTTTGCTGTTTGCTTTTCGACTAATTCGCTACTCGTTTTACAGAGGAGTCCTCAAAGAAACATCCATTCCCCTGTCCCTGCAGCTACAGAACCGCGTTAACGCATTACTTGGACATTACCAGCAACCCGCGTACGCATATCCTTAAGGAGTTGGCCGAGTACGCCACTGAACCCGCAGATAAAGAAAAGCTGAAGCTGATGGCATCCACTACCGTAGAGGGCAAGGCGGCTTATCAGCAATGGATAGTTCAAGACAATCGCAATATCGTGCACATCTTAGAAGACATACCCAGTTTGAAACCTCCATTAGATCATTTGTGCGAGATCCTGCCGCGATTACAATGTCGATACTATTCGATATCTTCATCTCCGAAGGTATGTTGAGAAATCTAGAAATATTTTCGTTAGAACATGATCATATCGATTAGATTTCATAGAAATAACAATTCTCACCTCGTAGCTTCATCCAACTTCGATTCACATCACGGCAGTGGTAGTAGAGTACCAGACCCCAACCGGTAGAGTAAACAAAGGCGTCACAACCAGCTGGTTGAAGCAGAAACACCCCTCTGATCCGCCTTGTCTCGTCCCGATCTTTGTGAGGAAGTCTCAATTCCGTCTGCCGACGCGCACATCTGTCCCTATTATCATGGTCGGACCAGGCACCGGTTTAGCGCCGTTCAGAGGCTTCATACAGGAACGAGATCTAGCGAGAAAGGAAGGTAAGAATATGAAGACTATACATAATGCGAGGTATAGAAAAAAAGTATATAAATTTTCGTAATCTCACGATAATTTCATTATCGCTGCGACGTTTTTAATTTTCTGACACGAGACACTAATTTTCTTAATGCCCACCTTCTCTGTCTAGGTAAAGAAGTAGGTGACACGATACTCTACTTCGGCTGCAGAAAAAGCAATGAGGATTATTTGTACCACGAAGAGTTGGCACAGTATGTGGAAAGCGGATCTTTAAAATTACATACTGCATTTAGCCGAGAACAACCCAAAAAAGTATACGTCACGCATCTGCTTGAGAAAAACAAAGAAGAAATTTGGCGAGTCATCGGTGAACAAAATGGGCATATTTATATTTGCGGGTTAGTATCTCAACTTTTCATCTTTCTGTTGCAGCATACGAATTTATTTTTCGAATTTTATATATTTTTATATTTTCTCAGGGATGCGAGAAATATGGCGCGCGACGTGCATAACATATTACTTAAGGTGGTGATGGAGCGAGGAAACATGTCAGAACTCGACGCCATGGATTACATCAAAAAGATGGACTCGCAAAAGCGATATTCCAGTGACGTTTGGAGCTGAGCAATAATTCCGACTGACATAGAAAAACACAATTCTTTTCGAAATCTGAAAATTGAGTCTAGTTCAATTTGTCAGAGCGTCAAAACAGCCGCCAATCGCATATTTTACGAGGTTACTCGTTTCATCTTCATCCTGTGAAATAAAATAACTAGTTGAATTAACGTAATTAATATCAAGGTCTTACACATGGTTTTTTTACAACTCGTATGGAGCACCTAATTGTACGTTTCGATCATTGTGTATAGTTAATTGCTTGAATATTTAACATTGCAAATTCAATCGGAAAAATACCGATTTCATATTTTATGAAAAATATTTGAATTTGTATAAAAAAATATATACGTGATATTTTTCTAGTTGTTATACTGTTATAAATGATTAAAAGTATTCTTACGTTTAACGAAATTGCAGTTTAACGAAATTAACGTTTGTGATTCAATAATAAGACGAATCAGATTTATTTGCCCTTACTAGTGTGATTTCCTTGACAATTTTATTAGACATGTTGATAAATAAAGTATCGAGTTAGTTCTGATTATACCGCAATACAATAGATATTGTCGATAACAAAATTATATAAAAGACTTCATTAAGTGCTTCATTTAAGTGCTATGAGACTTCCTCTCATTGTATCTTGATCATAATGCGTGAAATTCTAAAGTTGAAAGTCTTACATGAAAAATATATCTTAAAAAGCAGTGTAATCGGATGTAATGATTGTAATGGCGTTGCTCGGTACTATAGGATAATTTCACAATCGTAAAATTTTACGCACGAAACTCTTTATTCAAGTCTTGTATTTCGTTCGAAAATAATTATATTGATTATATTTTAGATACTATTAATTCATGTATGTATATTAGTCATTATACAAATTAACACAGCGCGATCAAATTCTTTAGGCAATGTTTGAAAATTTGTCAATGTTAAGTGGTGTTCATATTGTCCATCCATATCTTTAATCTTGCACTATAAAAAAATTTTTACTAATAGAAAATTTTATATTAGTATATTAAAGCTAGGAAAATGCTTCCATAAGCCAATTTAGCATGTAATTTAGTAGAAAGAAAAGCAAAAGTAGAAAGTGAAGCAAAATCAAGATAAGAATTCAAAGTCAAGAAACTTTGTGATTAGTAAACATTCATTATCCATTTTATCACAATCTTTGACTAGCATATTGTTAATGCTATGTTAAATTTTCTATCTTTATTTAAAAGTTAGACTAATCGGGAGTATCGATTTATTGGATTTTCGATAAATATTTTATAACGAAATAGGTAAATTATGTATAAATCATGTACTACTGAACAACTATTACTTATTCATATATGGTCTAAGTATAGAATTTTGTAATATGCTTAGTCATATCTCAATAGCAACTATATAATGAATCAAGGACAATTATATTTTTATATAATGCATAGGGATGGTGAATAAAATGAAAATAATATCATTTATATATGAAGATAGAAGTTTACATCATTTTATACAATTTAACTAATATATATGAGAATACTGACATATTTTTATATTGATTTTATGAGACTGCTTTATCTATTCTAATTAATTATTGAAAATAAGCCGGACATATAAAAATAATGGGAAATTAAATATTTAAAAAATTATTTTTTGTGGGAATAAAATTTAATAAATTATGAAAGTACGAAAAACGCTGACAATTTTTTTTTACGTGAAAAATGAAAATACAAGTATTTTACTATATAGTAAAATTGATAAGTTATGATCCCTCCTTTTTGTCATCATATACACGACTTACGCTTGCTTGTCTCTTATTATTTTACTTGAACTCAGACTTATCTTTATTGCCCTTTCATCGAAGGTACCGAGGTACGAATTCCAAAAAAATCAGGCTCAAATACATCTTAACGTAATGGCGGTTAAGCCGGAACTCAATTTACATACGCTGGTCGATCTTACAGAAGAATAAAAACCGATTTATGATGGCCGTAACCGTTAACTTAGTTGTCATCCATAAGAAATGGACCAATCGCAGTTGACTATTCTTGTAATAATCGACTGCAATTGGTCAATTTCTTATGGATTACAGTTAACGATTACGGCTATCATAAATTGGTCTTAAGAGAGCAGGAATAAAGAAACTTAAAAAACGATAACTTAAACTCACCAAAGAATATCAAATTTAGTTATAATGTAGAGACTTATAAGAAAGAGTCATGACTCACTCAAAGGTACGTGACAATATTAAAAAGATATTGAAAAGTGATTTTGTATTATGAGTACAACATAACATAACCTAATCTTTGATTAGTATAAACATAAGCCGATAGATTTATTACCGAAAATCCGTTTGATTTTGTATGTAAGAGATTAGAAAATTGATATTTATAAAGCTTAATAATCAAGATCAGATTTTATCGTATTACATAAACTATATATTATTTTATTTTAATTCTAACCTTATCTGTAGTGTCTTGTTGTCATATCCTATTCAAACATTCAAGATACAAATCATATTATTCTATTATTCATATCATTCATATTTCATATTATTCAGTTTTTTACAAATGTTTTCTAATTATTTTCCTGCTCATAGAAACATAACTGGTGTGTGCCATCATTCGACTGTAATGACTCCACAAATAAACCTTCAGTGAAGCGTACTAGTTCAATAGCACTAAATAATGATACATTGGATAGATCACTTACACAAAATAAACCCCAGCGAAGAAAGCATGAGACTAGTTTGTCGAAGCTGCTAGAAGCATGTGAACCGCAGAAACTCTCCGAATTGGCAATCAGCAAGCTAAAGCAGAATGAAATCTCCAACTGGCTTCAGAACAGAGCTTCAAAGGGACGGCCTTCCATATTGGTCCTTTCTGGTCCTTCTGGTTGCGGCAAAACTGCAGCCATAAAGCTGCTCGCTCATGAATACAAATTCGATGTTATCGAGTGGATTACTCCAATTGATCCAGCTGAGGATGAAAACAGTAATGATTACTCTCTGATGCTTATGCAGAATAGTAACATTGAACATGAACACTACTCACTAATGTCTTCATTCTTAGAACGCATAATGCGACAAGGAGACCGATTTGAAGATCACTTAATCCGCGCGACGCGATACCACACAGTATTCGGCACTTGTTCGAAGCAGTTACTTCTCGTCAAGGACCTTCCCAACGTTTATCAAGAGAACCACAAAGATTTCTTTTCACTTCTGGAGTAAGCGGTATCTTGCATTAGCTGTTGTGAACTTTCTCAAAACTTGTAATATAAGCTTGTAATCTCTTCTCACAAGTATCTTGTAGAAAATATTTCCAGGTAGGAAGAGAGCCTGTGGTATTTGTGTGCACAGAGACTGGTAACTCAAGACTGTTGCAGACCTTATTCGCTCCAACTGTAAGAGAAAAATACGGTATCGATCTCATCAAGTGAGTGGATCGTCATTTTCCTTTGTGGACATAATTGAAAATTATTACGTTTACGTGTGATTTCAATCGTAATTCGTAATTCAATGGTTTAATGCAGCGTGAACGCGGCCACGCAGACGGCGATGAAGAACGTGTTGAAGCGCGTGTCGAACGTCTTGAATTCCATCGCTGGCGACATGCTGCATGTCTCTCAACAGCACATCAATGAGACGTTATCCAACAACATTGGCGACGTGCGCAGTGCCATGTTAAATATCATTTTTCTTTCTCTCAGAGGTATATTCCTTATTTGTTAAAATTTAATAATCTAAAGTTAGTCGACATTGTTCTTATGATTGCTAGTGCCTGAACGGCGGTCGAAGAACGAGTGCGGCGTGCGGGAGGAAACCTTAGGTCTATTGCATGGCGTCGGAAGAGTCATTAATCCTAAAAGTAATTTGACTTTACTCTTCAACTTTTATATTGAACTGAGCTTCTCACTTTTCGTGAACTGGTTGTAATTTTTTGTAATTCTAGGGGATCCAGACAATAAATCCTGTAGGTTCGTGCATGATCCCGAAGAAGTAGCCGGTTTCTTCCAGTCACAGGCGGTGGTGTTTGCCAAGTTCCTCCAAGAAAATTATCTGAATACTATAAGAACTATAGAGGAAGCCACAACGGCGTCTGATATCTTGAGCTTAACTGATGTTCTGAATTCCGAATGGCGGGTGAGTTTAGTCGGGATAACGCGGGAGGGATGTCGATTTTCTTATTGTAAATGTTCGTTGTTGCATTTCCTATTCTTATAGGATCGTAATTTGAGTAAAGTTGCGCTATCTTATTGTATTCGCGGCTTGATGTTAGCCAATGAGAAGCCAGTGTCAGGTTGGAATCCCGTGAAAAAGCCGCGAGACGATCAGAGTAATATGTGAGCATCGAGATACTTCAATAATTGATCATTCTTCACGTTTCTATTTAATTAATCTTCAATAACGCGTATGTTTACTCGCAGACGACGATGCCTGGCGACCGCAGAAATACGATGGTACGAGTCAATAATCAAGCCCGTTTTGAAGGAAACAAACGAAGTATTTGACGACGACGTCGAAATATTTATTGAAGATGATTAGAAACGGTATGTCGGATTATATACGAAATATATTTCTTCCGCAACTGTTGTGCTCCCCTTGTTTCTAAATGTCTCATTCGTTTCCTCCATACTTGTTTTATCACAATCTAATATAAATAATTAAAAACTCTACATGCTAATGACAAGTGATAAAAGAACTGAATACTTAAATTTACATTAGGATAATTAGGATAATAAATACAACGATTTCCTCTTGCTTATTTTTACATCAAAAATCTATGATTTCTTAACTTTCAGGAAGCCAGCTGTATTGGAGAAGTATTTCGCGTTAGCCTCGTTCACCTTCTTTTCCGCAGCCTGTGGGTTGACGATTTCAAGACCCTATAAACACCCATAGTCATTAATAAAAACGAAATAAACGTGTTATTTTTATACATTATTATATGACTATTGCTTGATAAAGAATCAAAGAAGCATAAACGAACCTGCAGAGGAGTAAAAGCTACACTGGATGCTGTACCAGAGACCTGTTTCTTAACAGTAGTACTGCCTCCCCATTGCTGTTGTTTCTGCAGATTCTTTTGCAACGTCTTAGATATACGGACTTTCGTTTTCTCGTCGATCTGCGGTAACCTGATTCGACCTGTACCAGCCTTGCCAATCGTACCTCGTGAATAGCCAAGATCCTCTTGATAAGCGTCATTCTCGATCTGCAATTGGAAAAAATATATAACTTAGCTGTTGTTCAATATTACAAAACATAAGGGAGGTATCCTATATACAGTATATCGCAACAACTTACATCCGCGAAGTTCATCCTGTTGGCGTGCTTCCTGAACTCCGTGATCGCATAACGCTCTTTCATTTTTCGGACGCGCTTACCGCCGCGTTTCTTCCGCCCGGGGTCGATTGGTTTCGGCAACGGCTTTACAAATTTCACGGGCGGTGGTTCCTGCAACTTGTCCAGTTTCTTCTCAATCTCCTCGCGCAACATCTGTCCAATGTGACCATCTGTGCTCTCGTGACAGGCGTCCACTCTGGCCGCCAACATGCTTTTAGCAGCTACCAGCCTCGCCGCTTTCCGTCGCAAGTCCTGAAACATCGTTATTAGTTTTTAAATAATTTTGCTACGCTTATTATATATCTCTCTTTATATAGAAGACAATCTTACAGGTGGTGTCTCTTGTACAATCTCAGAATAATATATGAAGCCTGTGTGAGGTAAAGTGGTAACTTGCGAAAATCCGGAGAGAGTAGTTTTCTGAGATCCTAAGACCAAAACGTTGCAGGCTGGCATCTTGGAAAGTTTCGTCAGGCCACCCGCGACACCTGAATTAGGAGAATATATTACAATATAAATTAATTCGCTATTTTAAGCTCGCAGCTTCACTGCTTGAAGCCTGATGTCAGAAGCAAGAAAATGTATATCTTTTTCCTTAAAAATGATTCACAAGAATTTTTACTACGCATTTTCTCGTTTCTGACATCATAAATCCAGGGTTCCACAGTAATGGAATTAGGAGTCTTAATTCGTGCGATATAATGTTTACTCATACCCATAATCTTAGCAGCTGTTGATGCGCCGACAATTATCGACAGATTTGGTGCAATAAATGCCATTCTGCTCTCTACATATTCGAATATCTTTGATTTACAATTATTTAATTCCACTGCCATATCACATGCTTCGCAAATAGCCTCCTTCTCCTCTTCTGTCAGCAGCTGGCTGTAAATACAAATTAGGAGAACAAATAAAGCCTGTATAAACAAATAATTATATACAGATAATTGTGTACAAAATTTGAATATTAATATTTGAGCATTACCCTTGAGTCGTTGATGCAGTCACAGACACAACCATAATTGTCGCCTGTGTGAGGAATTGTTGCAGAGTCTCATTATTTTTAGCTCTATCCAAGTCATTACCCAATTCCCTAACTGTCATCACATATTCTAACGGTCCTACTACCAAAGACTCCAACTCAGGAAACCTCTTTGAATATTTGTCTCTTGTGAATCTATGAATAGTAGCTAAAAAATACCAGAATCAGTATACATCAATTTGCAAAGGAAAATTATGCGATCAATTGCATTTGTTCTAACCTATTTCGTCGTCGATGTCTACGGCCATATTATTAGCCTCGACTATCAATTGATATTCTGGATCGGATTCCACAGGTCCTACAATGTCGGATGACTTTCTGGGTACTTTGCTGTACATCTCGATCTGTAACATCACCTTCTGCAATTGTTCTGAATCTCGTAACTTGGCCAGCTCTCGCACAGAGGCTACTTTTATCTCTGTAAGAAACGAACGAATTTTGTATATAACGTGCATTGTTGATAATTTATTTCTTTTGAAGATGTAAGATGAAGTAGTGAAATATTGTGAACCTAACCTTCTTCTATAACTTTGGACACCGAAGCCGGGATGAAATTCGGCTCCGGTTCTTCTATAGGAACGTCCGAGTCATCGTTCTCTTCAAGATCCGCAAGAAGTTCGTCTGCCAAAGACATGTTTGATACTTGGATTTGTTTTTTTATAAAGTACTCATTCACCAAAGAATCTATATCATGTAAACTAAACGTCACAGTCGTAAATATTCTCCCTCTTTCTCTCTCACTTTCGCTCCTTCTTGGTTACAGGCTTGCCAACCATAGCCCGATTTCTAATTTTTGTTTCTTCACTGACTGATCAGTGAAGTCACTTTTGTTTCTAGAAAACATATCCTCTTATTGGGTCCCTATTCTTGAAATAGTTGCATATACGTAAGTTTTACTGCGCAGGTTTAATCGTACCATAAAATAGCTGCGCAATGAAAATTACGTATACGCAAAAATTTTAAGAATATGGGCCCCGATCAGGGTTGAGTACGCATAATATAATACTTCACGTTTTATGCGTGAAGTTTTATGTGCAGAAAACTCGAGTAATCTGCGCAGATAACTAAATGAGGTTTTCTGCTGCATAAAACTTCTTTTAGAGCTATTCTACAATTGCGTAAGCGTGGTCGTAAATGATTGTAAATGATTACGATACCAATCAAAATAAAGTAATCAATGTGAAACAAAACATTCTGATTGGTTGGCTTTATAACTGTTTTGTATATAAGACAAAGCATAAATATTTGTCCATGATCATGAAAAACATGAAATTGTGAATCTAGTTCATCTGTATTCCATTTTTTAATTTCTTTATATCTACACGTATATACAGATGTAATGAAACTGATTCAAAAGCAGCGAGTAGGATTGTACCTAGACAGAAATGAAAAATTGGGTTGGCGTCGATTCGACTTTTCATTTCTGGCTGGATAGATTATTTTAAAAGGCTTGGTCCGACCGTCTGAGGCGCGTTCGAAAACTCCACCCGGGTGTTTCTCCTCTATCTTTATCTCATTCCTGTGCATCTTTCTCACTCCAACGCAGCGAGTGCACTCGGATAGAGTTTTCGAACGCACGCCTGGGGGTACATACACCTCCCTAGGATCCTTTTCGAATTACTTATTTTTTGGCGAAGTCGTACCGTTTCGATGGTGCGCAATATCTCTTTTCAAATCGTGGAGTGGTATTAAGGCAAAGTACAAGCTGCCTGGAACTATATATTGAAGTAAGAAATATTATTTTAGATTAGAATGGGTGCGTTTCAGGGGTTTTCTGCATATTCTGCGCGTTTTTTGCGCATAATAGACATTTTATATATATTATGTGCATAATAGACGTTTTATGTATATTATGCGCAGAATTGTGCATAATACCTTTCTGCTGCGCATATTACTCATCCCTGGCCCTAGTGCCGCTCTCAAACGCATTCTACAATAAGCTATTAATCATAAGTCGCAAGCAAATTGACCAATCACAGTCGACTATTTTCAAAAATAATAGACTGTGGTTGATCAACTTGCCTATGACTTATAACTAAAGGCTAGTTTATGATGTCCGTAATCCGTTAACTTATGCCGCAACGGTAAAAAATTGACCAATCACAGTCGATTATTCTTCTATAATTTGACTATGATTAGTCAATTTTTTACGGTTTCGATATAAGTTAATGGATTAGTCCCGACCTACAATAGGTGTAGTAAGCTGTAAGCCTTAAGAAATTGATCAATCACAGTCGATTATTCTTCTTAAATTTGACTGTGATTGGTCAATTTCTTAAAGCTTACTATTCCTATTGTGGATCGGGACTTACATAAACCAACCTTAACAGCTTATTGTAGAATGTGCTTCATGCTTCTTTCTTCGAGTTACCTGCTGGTAGGTCATATGTTCCTGACATACTAGATGTCACTGATTCTTTTTACTAAAATAACCCCAATGAATCATCACCCATATTTCAGTCTCCCCTGATTTCTATTACTCTCTAAAGCAAGAATCAAAGCATAATGAAACATTACAAAATATAAAAAGTAATTTTTTAACATTTGTACATATATATGTATCATACATCGTAATACATCATGTGTTCTCACAGAAATATCGCATAAAATAGAAGAATCTTTCAAGAACAATCTTCTAAATTTACAAAGAATCAATTAAGAGATCTCTTTAAAAGTATTTCTGATTTAGTAACAAAACACTCGAGATATAGTATACAATTATCGGTTATTATACATGTATATACAGTGTGTGACTCTTTATAACATAATTCATATAAATATCTCGAATACTTTACGAGAAATAAAGCAAAGATTTCAAATAGTACTTTTACAATAGCAAATTCACGTTTCTTGTTGTAAGCACAGTTGCAAGCAAAACTGTGATTGAAATATATAATATACATAATATAATTCTCTCGCTATTTTCGTCTCTTATTTTTTCTATATCGCGCAATTCCAAATTCATAAAACAGCAAAACACTAACAGCATGAGCCTGCAGCACTTCTCTCTCTCTCTCTCTCTCTCTCTCTCTCTCTCTCTCTCTCTCTCTCTCTTTCTCTCTCTTCTCTGTTTTGATAAGTCCATAATCTCGACCCTGCAAATGTGGTCCGCGCGTGATGGCGACTCGTAGGGTGCAGCTTCGAGGTTACTTGCTTCAGTACGCAGAACGTGAAGCTGCTCCGTAAATCGGCCTCATAGCCGACCTCTCCCTTCGCTGTAGCAACAGGAAGGGAAGAGAGGAAGAAAACGGGTGGAAACAGCTGATCCTTGGAAGACACGCTACCTGCGCACGTTGAAACCTCGTGTACCGTCAGGACCTGTGGGCATGCGAACGATATTGTTCGGAAGGCCACTGCTACTTGGTGCGTTTGACTTTGGCTGAATCTTGTTAATCTCTTGTATGGATTTCTCCTCAGGGCTTTTTTCCTCTCCCATGATTCTCTTTCGCGCCTCTGCATATTCCTGTTCCCTCTGTAAGTATTCATTATATTATCAAGTGTTATCAGATGTTCCATTTGTATCGAATGTTTTATTTGTTTTTTTTGAGGTATGATTTGAGGGCTATCTTTCATTTGTCACGTGTCGACGAATTTGTAAGACATGTTGATTAGCTGTGGGATAAAAGATTTTTAAGATGGTCAACATTAAGAAAAAACATTTTATCAAACAGCTAATCAGCATCATTCAACAATATCCTTCATACAACCAATATTAGTCTAATACAACTTTGTACAATTAGTTTTATATGATGTGAAACTTTTCAGGAATTGATCTTCAAACATCTGTATCATATTTTTATATCACACACTAGATCTCTTATTCTCTCAACTTTCTTCAATTGATATAAGAAAAAGGACCTAAATAATGTATAAATTACCCGATAGAGTAGCAATACATATGTGTGCGTGTGTATGTATATAGTATGTATGTGTGTATATAAATAGGATATTTATATACCTGTTTTAAAGATTTAATAGGTTGTTTAGGTTTATCACCATTCATTAATAGTCCATCACCACTTCCACGCAAGTCTGCAGTTGGTCTTTTTAATATCTTAACTGTGGGTTTGGGTGGTATATATTGAGACCTGATACCATCATCTCCCAATATAATCATTCTTGTGTTTGTACTATTACTGGTCTTACATCTACAAAATTGTTAAATATATGTAATAGATTAACAAAAATATAGTAACAGTACATTTTTCAATATAATTAAATATAATACAGTAATATACAATAATACAGTAATAATTAAATATAATACAGTAATAATATTTAAATATAATACAGTGATAATATTTAAATATAATACAGTAACAGTATATTTTTCAATTAACTCTATATAATTAATTTTTAGTTTTATATAGACTATATAATTAATTCTTAGTTTTATATAGAAAGAATAGAGCCTAAGAATAAATAATTTACCTAGAAGATTCTAATTCTTCCTCTACTCCATCCAAACGAAGAACATTCAATTTTTTGTCCAGAGTCTGAAAAACATTATAGTTCTACATTACTACTTTCTTACACGTGATAAATATCGCAAATATTCATTAATTAGTAGAAACTTTATGCAAATTCCATGATTCTATTCATTTCATAAAAGAACATGTCCTTATGGTAATGTGAATTACTACTACAATGAAAAGTCATATGTATTAATACTGTCAGGAAATATAAGTAGAACGCGGATGTAGTACATGATACAACAATAGACGTGATCTAACGTGAAGAAGATCGGGAGATTTATTCTTGATGCTTCAGTACTATTTCGTGGTGAGAAATTTATGCTTGAAGGAGTGAGTGCAAAATATAGGTTAAGTCGAGACATTATCGCATTCTAAATACAACTTGAAAGGTGGAGATTCAAAATAATCTTACACCCGATTCTTCTATCTGTTCCCAGCTCTCTAGAACATCGTCCATGCTTCAATTTCGCGAATTTCCGCGAAAATTGTCGAATTCGTGAAGTCGTGCGCACGATTACCAGGAGCGCGAGAAGTGTGAAATGGATATGTGAAAATTGAGGACGGCGATTGCGCAGCCGTCTGTCGGGGATACTCAGAAATACCGCCGCTATTTGGAAATCTAACCTGTACTCGATGTCCGATGTCCCAAAATATATCAAAATTTATTATAAAGTAAATTCATTATATAACTAAAACTTAAACATTTAAAATGCAAAAGTCAATGTAGAATATTTAATTAAGGACGATTTTCTCATATCGTTGATAGGCCATTAATAAAATAATTCTGAGAATGGAAACATTCATAGTTGGACTTTATGAATGTCGTATATACATAGACCAAGGCTGAAAAGTTCTGAAATTCACTGCCAGTACTGAAATTCTATAATATACGTAACATAAACTAGATTAGATAGATTTTTAATATTGGTAGTGCATTTCGGAACGCAGCCCAAACATTCTTCGCAAAGTGAAGCCAGAAGTTGGCAGTTTAAAACAGAGTGAGAAAGTTGATTTGCTCCTTAGCGCTTTCTTACTCTATATTATTGTCAAGAAGGAGGATTCGTTTAACACTGTAAATACTTTAAAACGTTAAATAAAGCAATGTGATTGATCCATTCGTTGTTCTGAAGTACTTACAACACTAAATAGAACTATTTATAGCACTAAACCTTATTCAAAAACTGTACCCGTCATAGCAACCTAACCTTTTTCATTTGACAATGGAATGAATACAGGATAAGAGCAATTTCTGTGATTATTTATACACATAAAATATTATAAATATCAATTTTATATCAAGATAAGTAAAAGATATGGTTTTATTCTTTTAATTCTGCACTGCATTATATATAGCACTTAACAGCTTGACAGCGGCCATATTCTTTCTATACGATATGCAGGATTCACACCGCGTCCGATGTCCGACGTACGACTTCCGATATCCAATAGGAGAACAGATTTCTAATATAGAATTCAATTCTCCATTGAAAAGCTATTTTTTTATTGGATATCGAATGTCGTACGTCGGACATCGGACGCGGTATGAATCCTGCGATAGAATGAAAAAGCACTAGGAGCAAATCAACTCTTACTCTGTTTTAAACTGCCAACTTCCGGCTTCACTTGCCGCTACAGCAGAAGTATAGGAATGCTTGGCCGATATTCATAATCGAACCTTATTTCAAGACCGTCTTAAGTAATGTCTTAAAGGGCGTCTACATTGGAAGTAAGTAGCTTCCAATATAGTTTACTTCCAATATAGACGCCCCTTTAAAGGGACGTTTACATTGGAAGTAAATAGCAAGAAGTAGGAAGTAAGAATAAGAAATTGACCAACCACAGTCGAATGTGAGAAGAATAATCAACTATGATTGGTCAATTTCTTATTCTTACTTCCTACTTCTTACTGCTTACTTTCAATGTAGACGTCCCTTCAGCGTCTTCTACAATGGCAGTAGCAGTAGTAGTAAGAAATAAGCAGTAAGTAAATAGACCAATCACAATCGATTATTTTTTAAACGTGAGAATGGAATTGATCAATTTGCTTACTGCTTATTTCTTACTACTACTCCTACTGCCATTGTAGAAAACGCTTTAGGGCTGTGGCACACAGAAAAATTTAAGCAGTAAGATGTAAGAAGTAAGCAAATTGACCAATCACAGTCTTTGATTCTTGGACCGTAAGAAGAATGAATGACTGTGATTGGTCAATTTGCTTACTGCTTACGCTTATAGCGTGTTCGACTGGCCCTGGGTTAATTGCTCCGAGGGCGATTAATGACGTCATAAGTCTCTACTAGTCAATTATAAAGCTTATAAATATTTGTTCGACCAATAAACGTAGGCTGAATAACCCAGAGTGGGTTAACCTAAAGCCAGTCAAACATGCTATTAGAGTGTGATTAGATGTAGCGCGATATGCGGTACGCGGAACGTGGTAAAGTAACTAGAAATCGCGCGCGGTGAGCCGCGCCTGTTTTTTTTTCCTATTATATGGAGCAGAAACTGCGCGAAAAGCGGCACGGGCTAATGATAAATTCTCATTTCTATGCACTTTTAAATGGAATTAATTGATTTAAATGCAATTAATAAGTAAATTTGTTGAAAAAATAAGAATATTGGTAAAATGTGCATAGAAAGAAGTTAATACATTTTAGAAAATGAAAACAAATGAGAATTTGTCACTAGCCCGTGCCGCTTTTCTGCGCAAGTTTCTGCTCCATGTAAGGGTGCGTTTAGATTCTTCATCCGGGTGCACTCTATTACTAGAAACACTATAGTATATGTTACATATACTATAGCACTTCTAGTAATAGAATACACCCAGGTGTGGAATCTGAACGTAGCCTAATAGGAAGAAGAAAACAGGCGCGGCTCACCGCGCGCGGTTTCTAGTTACTTTACCGCGTTCTGTGTACCGCATATCGCATACCGCGCTACATCTAATCGCACCCTTGACCTTGCGGGCGTTTTTTGACTGTCAAATTTGAGAGCTATACAATAGGTTCTATAATGTCAATATAACGAATCATATTCTGCTTCTTATATTCCAGGAAACAAATATTTCGATGCGCTTCAAATATGACGGAAATAGAATGGTGAGAATTTGCTTTGTTAAATTTATAATTTTAAATAATTGCGGAGTATATTAAAGTTCTACTGTAACAATCTGAAAGCAAAAGTTTTTGTAATGCTTTACATACTATGAACATTTTTGTTATAGGATATCAAAGCCTATGGAATATGGAACTGTAAAGTTTACATGTCTAGAAGAAACTGTAGAACATCCTCTAAAACCAGTTGTAATTACTGTAAGATAGAATCTTGTACAATTTTAAAATTGTAGTATTATATTTATTATAATTTTTATAAAAATGAATTTTGATTGTGTCTGTATAGCTGATTGATGGACGTGGTGCAGTTAGACGCAATATATTGCGTAGCACTAGCACAGGTTCCTCTACTGGGACACCAACGCCGACACATACACCGATTCCTGCAAATCCACTGAGTGATCCACTGCTGAGTCATTCTTCTCTGGATGGTTCTGATCCCCTCACACAGTTTGCTCGTGAAGAACTAGATCCTCTCTCCAAAATGGCTGCAGATGAAGTAAAATACAAATAAACTTTGATATTTTTTAAGTGCTACCTAAATATTTGCCAATATACATTTGTTACATTGTAGTGGGATTACTCTTGTAATGTTGCATCAGCCAGCAAAAAACTGAAAGATACAGCAGAGGAATTGGTAGAGCCATGGTCTGTTAGACGTTCTGCCATATTGAGCAAATACACAACTTCTGAAAAATTATCAATTGTTACCAGTTTTTTATCAGGTGGAGAAAAAGGTATTTTTTGTTTATGTTTGATACAATTTTATAAGAGAACATATTTAAGAAAACGATTCTTCTATTAAAATATGATATGATTTTATATAGTTGTAGTAAAAGTTCAGCCAAGTGGCCCAATGGTTGACAAAGTGAAAACGCGACTAGAGCAATTGGATGACTTCGAGGAAGGCTCTGTCAGACAAATGCTAGATCTGTCGCAACAACAATATACTGCACGAATCGAGCAATTGAACAACGAATTAGTACAAGCATGGCATTCTGACCAAAGAGTAAAAGCTCTGAAAATAGCTATTCAGGTTTTTATTGTTTATTATGCACCTATTTGGAACGTAGCTCACGAAACTTGGATATTAACGCTAAGTTATTTCAGTGTGCTAAATTATTAGTAGATACGTCTGTGATGAATTTCTATCCAAGCAAGTTTGTTCTCATCACAGATATTTTAGATATCTTTGGGAAACTTGTATACGAGAGATTGAAAATGAAGGCTGAATATTATAAGTAACTATCATGCAAAGAGATCTTTGCACAGTTGAATTTTTCTCTTTACTTGTAATTACATTTTTTTTATCTTTATTTTTTCTAATTGCAACGTCCGTTTTGCAGACCAGGTAGCAAAATACCCACGAGTTTACCCGATAATTTTACACCCGACATGGTTCCAGAGAACGCGAAGGAGACATGTCGGAATTGGTTTTACAAAATAGCTTCTATACGCGAGCTAGTACCGCGTCTATATGTAGAGATGGCTATAATAAAATCGTATAGTTTCCTAACGACGAGGTAAGATATCCGCGATCATCTGGAAAAGAATTGGAAAAATATTTCTTATATTTTCATACTCATTTCAGCGAATTTAATACCGCTCTATTACGTATAACTCGTATGATAAGAGGAATTGGGAACCCGTTGATAGCGGTTTACGCGCGATGCTACTTGTGCCGCGTGGGATTGGCGTTGAACAAAACTTCAGATTTTGAATTCGTAAGAGAGAATCTGTATGACTTTCTGTTTACATATCAGCAGTTGTTCGGAGCTGCTGTGAGGAGTGAATTAGCGAAGCAAAATGTCACTCTACACTCTTATCTGAATCTCTACTCGCCGGCATTGGATTGGATTGTACAAGTTTTGGTGGCAACGTTGCCTGAGAGTTTTCTCGAAGAAGTCTTGTCTCGATGTAGAAAGCAAGAAAATGGGTAACTATTTTTAACGCACATTATTCACTCGCACGATCATTTCATTGGTACTTTGCACTGTACTTTTTTCAGATCATTGTTGTTGAATACTGTGCTGACTGCATTTAAGCCGACGTACATCGCCGCACGCGCGATGGATTTCGTGAATCTAATAGTGGCGAGCGAAGACGATGGTAGGGAGCATATGAAAGATTAAATAGACAATATAGCAATTCATATCTGTTAACTCGAGAAATATAATATTTTTCTTTTTAATAATTTCATAGGATATCCTCAGTATCTCTTGTATCGCAGTTTGGGCGAGTGTCTCGTGCGAGAGTCTCCGCCGAAAGAGGATTGTCAGTCGGTGCTCAACGTGATATGGAAATACGTCACGGAGCTCACAGATCCCAACAAGTTCATGCATTGCATCGAGATCTGGATTCAGTTCACCGTTATACATTTTTCTGTAAGTCGAGCGAATCGTGATAGTACTTGACGTCAGGTCCAAGTGACGTAATATACATGTTACAGGTGAATGAGCTCAATTTGTTTTTCGGCAAAATAATAGATCGCTTACGGCCGAACAAAGCTTTCGAGAACTATTATCCGCAATTGCAGAATATCGTTGAGAAGATAGTCACCCATACACAAGACTTTGAGTCACTACTCGCTGTAGTAATTATCTGCTCAATCTCTTTATATCGTACATCATTCATAACATAATTAAAACTATAAGTCACGATAAGCAATTTTTTATATTTTTAGGACAACTTCTTGCCGTTAATAGATCTGTTTCACAAAGAAAGTATCAAAGTTGAGGTTTGCAAGACTGTTATAGAAGGATTGAGTGCGCAAAGTGGGTCCATTACGGACCCCATTATTATAAACGCACTAATGTTTATCGCTAGGATCATGCATGATTCTGTTAGGTACGTACGTACCCGTCAGAACTTGTTTCTCTTTACCTTGTCAGTACTAACCCGCATCTCTGAAACTAAATCAATCAATTCGAAGCGCTTTAACTGTCGAGGATGAGAAACGACAAATCGGGCAACTGATATGCGGTCTCGTGCAACGAGTGGATTACGGTCGTGATTTTGAGAAGCAGCTAAGTTTCTACGCGGAAGCCAGGGCAGCGTTTCCTAATCTCGATAGTGTTCATATACAGCTTGTACAGGTAATATCGATATACTGCAGATACAAAGTTTTTTCTTTACTATATACTTCTATAATAATTATAAAATATATTTTTCCTTCTGTAATATTTATTTATAAAGTATATTTACTTCACTATATATATACTATATACTTACATTATTTGTATCTCTTACATAAATACTAATCAATGTAAAAACAAATGTGAAGCACCTCGACTGATATGACAACTCTTTCATTTGTGCTCAGTGTGTAAATAGATTATCGGTCGACACTAGAAAGATCGTGCGTGGTCATCACACGAGAAGAACGTCAGCGTTCGTGCGTGCCTGTGCCGCATTCTGTTTCATCACTATCCCATCGTTGACTCTGGTCCACACGCGTCTTCAATTGTATCTATTATCCGGACAAGTGGCTCTCTTGAATCAGTGTCTGGGCCAAGGTAAGCCGATCTGTATTTCACGATGAAGATTTCACGTTGTATCATTCGGTCGCGCTTTCAGCCGATGCCTGTTTCAAGGCGGCTTTGAGCTTGGTTCCGGAAATGCCAAAGACCATCGACATCGACGGCAGACAGAAGAGCTCACAGCCGTATTTACTCTCGTATCTGTCAAATTTCTTGTCGACGTTGCTGGTGGTCCCGGTACGTATGCAAATACACGTTGTACGTTAATTGTTATTGTAATATTGCTCCGTTCATTAGGATAGCCCGGAGCATGGTGTCTTGTATCTGATGAGAGGATTGCTCAACGCAGTTCAACGTTGTTTTGAAGAAAACACTTCGACCAAGTCGTACTTGTATTTGCGCGTACTAGATCTGCTGTCGACGGTCGCTCAGGAAAATTATCCTTACCATATCGATAAGGTATCTCATAATTTCACATATATTCAAAGAGTCAAGCTAACTGTTACGATATTTATGACGCTTTAAAAATAGAAATTAAAATATGGAAATAAATATGAAATGATTGGCGTTTTAGGTCGATTCGAACGATAAGTTGTATGGATCTGATCAGAAATTCATCGGTGAGGTCAATAAAATTTGTTCGAAAATCGTGGAAGAAATTTTGAGTCATCTCAAGCATCTCGGGTCCATTGATCAATTTGATAAGCAATCTGCCCTGGCGCTCGAATTGTTCAACTGTTTCATCATTCGTGCGGATCTACGGGAACCTGCGTTAGCGAATATGGCTGTAAATTTGTGGAACTTATCACAACGCCACGGTTCAGTGGATCCGAAAGTGACTGTAAATATGTGCTAGTAATGATTACGATTCTGATATCTCGTGTTTCGCCTCCGTTGCGTGAGCTCTCTGTTATTATTCTGCAATTTTCTACAGATGAGGACGAAGGCTTACATGATGCAAAAGAGTCATCATCACGAGTACGAGCACTTTTCCGACATACTCAGGAAAATGTCTAGGTGAATAATATCGGCTGGGACATTTCGATAACACACAGTTTCGATGCGTTTTGATTCACTTTTATTGGCAGTTTTCTCGGAAGACATTTTTTGATCATGCAGTAAATTTCCCGATTGTATTAGTGAAACTAATTATAACGAACAATCAAATTCGAATATAGATTGATCACTTCGCAAAAGTTGAACACGAAGAATGAACTAAATGCAAGGTAAAACACTGAGCAAACACTTTACATCATTCTTTCCTTTAATATAACAAATGCTATTTGAAATATGAGATGTACGACTAAACGTAAGAATTTGTATTCCCACACAAAAATATCACAATGTTATATATATACACACAGAGTGTCCCAGAACGTGGGAACGTAAGATGGATTGAGGTAAGTATAAAAGTCCCATACAAGTCTTGTGATATTCGCAATAATAATAGATATATATTAATAATAGATAAATATTATATAAATATATTAATTTTGTAAAAAAAAAGTTAAGGAACAACGCCGCTACTTGTACTTATATCATTGCTATGTCTCGCCATACCGCATCAAAGCTCATGTCGATGGTTGCTCCTCTCTCTACCATTCAGCATACACTTTTTCCTTAATCTTCCACAATTAATATCTCTACTATTATTACGAATATCGCAAAATAGTATAGGATTTTTATGTTCACTTCAATCCGTTCTCACGAAAATTGCGGAAACGAACCTAGGACATTTTGTGTGTATATATATATATATATATATATATATATATATATATATATATATATATATATATATATATAT